CTCCTGACCAAACTATGGGGACCATATTTCCCAAATTGCGGCTACTCCTATATTTCAGAGGTCGGAAAACCAAATCCGTTGAAAAAAATGGTATCCTTATTCAGAGAAAGTACGTTTCTGTGTTTGATTATGTAACTTAAAATGTCATCTGTACTAATTTTTACCATATTTGAGGTTACACTCTCGAACGATTAAGATTGAGTCCTAGAATGCGAAGATCAGATCATTAGAGGTAAAGTTATTCAGGGTGGTCCGCTTATGTTTTTTTGCTCAACTGTATAATGCTGACATTGAAAATTTTCCCAATTTTATGAATTCTATAGATGATATTGAACTCCATCTTGGGAAGACTTCAACTTTACATACAATTCACTTTGGAGCAGAAAATCCTGTTTAACTTTGCTAGGGTTCTCTTTCCAAATAATGCAATTTTTAATGAGGAACTTGTTTACCCTAAGGCTATTGTTGGGTTTCCTTTAAATATTATCGAATCCATTTATAGAATACTGCTGATGAGCGTTCCGTTGTCGTATCGTTTTAAACCGTTTCATTTAGTTTCCTTTTATAAACTCTCATTTCCTTCATCCAAATAAAACTTACTGCTCTCTGTTCACTGGTCTATCATGCCATTAAAATTTGTTCAAATGGAAAGTTCTTAATGAGAAACTTGTTTATTTATTTTAAGGCTATCGCTGTTGACCGTAACTTTGTTTTCAATATTATTGAATATAGTTTTTGAAACTGAACACTAAATTTAATAAATCTTTCCACTGAATTAAAAGTATTTGAAAAAAAAGTTTTTTAAATATTTTTTTCGGCTGCTATGTAATTAGATATTTCCCCTCATCGTCTTCAAATAAAAATATGAAATAACTCTATTACACCCATGAAATTCATAAATGTTCATCTTTTCGTAAGAAATAATTTTTTTCAAACCCCTTTGAATAACAATATATATTATCTTAAATTGTTTGTTTTGATTCAAAGTTTTTTTTTCACTTAATCATTTTATTTATCACATTTTTTTTCTACATTATTTATTTTTTAATAACTAATTTATTCATTTGCTTCCATCATCCTATTCATAATTTTATCATTATATTCATAATTTTATAATCCTATTCATATTATTATCATCCTATTCATAATTTTCTGCAGTTAACCAAAAACTCATATATTTTATTTATATTTAAAATGATATAAGTTTTTTAAAAATGATTATTTCACTTTACATTTAAATTTTTTTCAACTACTCAGATATTATTAGTTTTAAAATAAAGAGAAACTGTAATTTGTGGGTGTATTTTTAAAAATGGTGAAAAATCAGAAAAAAAACATAAAATAAGAGCGAGAGTTAAATAGTTAAAAAAACAGTTGGTATTGTTAGTTTATAATAAAATCGGAACCTCACTTAAATAATAAGAAAATAAACAATAAGTAATTTGTAAACCACCCAGTATTGTTAAGTTATAAATAAAATCATTTAAATAACAAAAAATACAAATACGTAGTTTGTAATCAATCTATTATAAAATTTTTACCATAATTTTTTATTGTTTTACCAGATTATCTAAGAATTAGCTCCACACGAGAAATAAATTACAGTGAAATTACCATACTATATTGTAATGACAATTATACTAAAAAGAATCATCATTCAGTTAAATAAAATTCAGATATATGGTATCTAAACCATTCATTTGGTAATTTTTCCGTTGTGGTTTACCGAAAATTTTGTCTTAAAATCATAGTTTTTATTACCAAACATTTATAAAAAAATACAAAACTGAAGAGTCGATTTCACAGTATAAATGGTTTTAATGCCATACTTTAAGGTATCATGATAAAATTATCAAATTTCAACATATTTTCCAAATTTTACGATGTATTATAAAACCGTATTTTATTGTTAACATTTAAAAAACATTACGAAAGTGCTTCAGTAAAATTTAGTGAATTTATTGGTGTTGCCCGAGAGTCAGGAACATGGTTGATTCTACCATATTCTGTTAGTTTTTACCATTCTTTTCTCCGCAGTGCAGAGTCGTTTTCGTAGTTTGGTTTTGAGTCAGTTTTTTGAAGTTTCAATATCTAAACTACTCTTATGTAAATTATATTTGCTGTTAACATATAATATTGTTGTTAAAAGTTGGGATACGAAATTACGTTCTTTTTTGTCGTAGTTAAGGGAAGACAAGAACTAAATTTGAACAAGAAAGATGACTTGATCGTCGGTGACTTGACTAACTGAAAATGTGCTAAGAAATTAATTTGTGGTTGAGATGTCAGCAAGCAATACGAATTAGCTACATCGGTGTTTAATTTCTGTGTTATTGTGCACCAGCGAAGTAAAGATAATTTTATTCACCCTGGATAATTTTCTAAGCATGTAATCATCTAAATTGTTAATCGTTCCAAAATGTTCATTTCCTAAATATAATCGAGCTTAAAGTTTTGCTTGTGAATTTTCTCGTTAGCGTTAAAAGTATGAGATAAGGGAAACATAAAACAGTTTTAGTACACTGATAAGAAAGTTCAGTTAAAACTACCAGAATATTATAAAATTTACTGAGTATCTGGATCTATGGGAATACCAAAAAGCTCGGTAATTTCTACTGAAACGCTTCTGTAATAATTTTGATGAAATTAACCAAAAAACATGGCTTTATAATGTGTGATAAAATGTCGCAATTTTATTACGATGCCTTTCCTTTCCCTCTGAAAATTTTTTTAAAGCAAAAATAGAGAAGTGAACATTTTGAGGTAATAAAAAATTTGAAAAATTATCTGAAATTAATTTACATTGTAGTGAAAAAAATTATTAAGTATAATATCATATAAACAAAATCAAAATTGGATTAATAGATTCGGCCCAATCAATGAAACGAAACTGGATCAGATTTGACTTTAACAATTCAAGTGGAATAATGAATTAAAGAATGGTAAAATAATGAATTAAATGCTGAGAATTTCTTATATTTTTAAATGATTTTAAACTCCTTGGTATAAAAATTGATTCTGTATTTATTACAAATCAGTTTAAGCAAAACTCTTTGGGGATAAAAATTTATACACTCAGGACAGAACGAGCAACTTTCCCAGAAGCTGATATCTATTTTAGTTTAAGAAACTATTGGAAATTAAATTTTCTGCAATGTCTTTCACGATTTATTTTATACAGGGTGTTCCATAGAGACCACCCTTAATATAAATTTTTGGAATTAATATTATGCTTTTTAAAATTTTTCATGAACAAAAAAATTATATATTGGGATAATTTAAGTAATATTTAAGCGACGAAAAGATTAAAACAGTATTGAAATCTACAGTACAAGAATGCAAATGGAATAAATATTAAAACTGCTTTAATTGGCGGTTGAAACTTAAAGATGTTTCAAATAGTCGTCTTTCAATATTCGCTCTTCTTTATTTCTTCCCGCAATAAAATTTGTCTTGTTGTTTAGCCATCATATTTCAATTTCATTTTTGTTTTTCTCTGGCTAAGTATTAATTTGCGACCTCAATGTGGAAACTTTTTTATTTTAAGTTTTGCAAGGAATCTAAAAATATATATTAAGGGTGGTCTTTACTTAGGACCATTGATTTTTAGAGAAGTCCGGGAAGGTATCTTCCATTAAGAAACACTTTTTAACAATTAAAATAACTGTAAATTTTTCGAAAATGAATAAATAGAATAATATATTAAAAGTTTTATTAAAAGGAAATTAATATTCCTTTCTTTTTTTTCTTTTATTTGTCAAAAAGTGACAATAAGCAATTTCTGAATTTCCTTTCTCCCACAGTTGAAAATAACAGTAGATAACAAAAATTTAGATTTTTCTTAATACATACCTTTAATTCAAGAAAAATTCACAAATTATAAAGAATGAAAGCCGAAAAATAAAAAGAATGCTAAAATAGTTTTTGCATTGATTCAACTTATATACATTAAGGGCCATAACTTTGATTCAGTCGAAATAAATGGTTATTCGGGAAAAAGTGAATTTTTGTGCCTGATTTCGTAGCATAAGTAGTTGCCTCCACTAATTGATTAAAATATTTGAGAAGTGAAAATTGAACTATTAATGTGCTTCAAAGCATTATATGTAAAGTTGTTCAGGATGTTCCGCTTTCCGCTTTCTTTTCTTCTCTTTCTTTTTATTGCTGGTTGTACAATATTGAAAGTATTTGATACATAAAATAAGTATATTATTAAACATGTTCAACACTGAAATCGCTTTTGGAATTAACGTAGTATTTTTTTAAATTTATGTAATTATTGCTATTACTTAAAAAAAACAATCCAGCATTTTTAATTTAAATGAAAAGTTAAAAAAATACAAAAAAATTACGAAAGGAAAATAAAAATACAAACTTTACCAATGAATTGGATTTACTTTTATTTATCAGCAAAAACATTCAGTTGAATTTAAATTAGAGGAGAAATTATCGTAATCATTTTGAAAATCCATTTTCAAGAAAAACGATCAAATGGGCTTAAGGGTTCCATTATAATGAATTTACGCCTTTTCTTATTAGTGCATTTACGCCAATTTACGTGAATTTATAGTTGTAATACATTCAATACGTGTTAAAAATCTTACAAATTAATTTATTATGTTTCAATATTCAAGATTATTCTTTTTTCAATGCTGTTTCTTTTTTTTAATGTTATAATGTCAAGAAATTTTGCATTTTATGGCTAAATAGTGTTCAATATTTTTGATTAGTTGAATGTTAAGCATTTCAAAAATATTTAAATGCAGGTGACTTGCTTCAAAGACGCAAAACACATTTTTCAACATGAGTAAATATGTATTTTGCGCTTTTAAAATAAGACAATCGCGTTTCAATATTTATGAAATATTTAGGATTTATTAAAAGCGCAACAAGCTAACTTAATTCACTTTAGTTTCTAGGATTCAATGATTTATTTGCTGTTTTAATGTAAGGAAATATTATAAATATTTTGAAGTAAAATAGTTTGAAAAGTAACTTACAGCTGAATCATTGAGACGTCTGTTGGTTCTACTGGCTGCATCAACTTCTTTTTGAAAGATGCAGCAAATAAAAATGAAAGCAAGGAAAAGACTCAACAAGTTGATCTTGATCATATTGGATACTGCAAAATATTTACTCGGAATGAAAGAAGAAGGAGATGTTCGGCGGGGAAGTTTACGAACGGGTGACTTCACTGAGAAAGAAGAAGCGGGAACTATTGGACAGTTAGGAAATCTGCGCAGCTCAACTTTTCGGAGAATCCCGAAATTAGGATTGTCATGGCTCTTATAAGGGAAGATTGTTGATAAGTATTGGACGTCTGTGACGTCATATGTTGACTCCACCCCCCTGGAAATGCTCCGGGGTGAATGAAAGCCATGACAAAACATTTCCGTCAGTTAATTTCTTATTCGACGAAATCACTTCCGGAAAAATTAAAAGAAAAAGTAAAGAATTAAAAAGGGAATTGAAGATCTAACCTTTGTCTTAATTACGCTGTTTTAAGTTTCGAAAAATGCGTGGGATTAGGAACTTATTCAGAATTTGTAAACTCTTTTTGCTTAGATAATTTAACAACAGTTCTGAAGAAATATTTACGAATTTTAATAATTTAGGAAAGTTCCTGCTGTTTCAAGAGAAAGAAGTTTTGATTTTTTAAAAAAAGAAATAATGCGCTATAATAAAGAATCTCTCTTTCTCTCACTCTCTCTGAATATATATATATGGTTACTTTACATTTTTCCTGACATTGGTGTTAATTGTTTTGCTATTACTTGCCAATAACTCAATCCGTATAGGCAAAAAAGTAATAATTACTATTATTTTTGTATACCTATAAGTTTTTAAAATAAAGTAATTATCAGGAACATTCAAGAAAAATACAAGGTCTGCTTCCTTAATCCTTTGACACAGAATTTTGAATAAACATATTTTTTACACGTTTTTCATTGTTTTGTATTAATTTAGGTCACACATATATTTCATTTAATGTTTTCATAAATTATAGTTATGAAATACTATATATGAAATAGTGGTGTTTTTTTCTTAAATGGTAAGGTAAAATAGTCTTAGGTAAAATCTTCCAAACACTGCTCACTTACAAACAATAATTTTTCCAATTTACACTTATTTGCAGTTACGTAGATCTACGCAAAATAATTATTCATAATTAAAATTTCTTTAATTTACAAAATTTTTTATTGATAAATTTTTGAATATGAACGGGAAAAAAAACTTTCCAAACTACTTTTCTTAGAGTTTTTATTTTAGTGCAAATATAATTCTGATAATCTTTAGTTACTATTATACTGTTTTTTATAATTTGAAAATACCAAAATATGCTATTGCTTGCAATTAGAGAGTCAGAAAAAAATACTTAAAGGGGACACCGGTGTCTCAGCTGCGTCAAAGGGTTAAAAAGTTATTTAAGAAAAAAATTATGATACGCAACATAAATTAAAGCAAAGTATATTTTATCGAAATTTAATTGGATCAAATTTAATTTAGCCAATTTTAATTGAAAGGCTTGAGAGAAATGCATAGAACTATCGAAGTAATAGGAATTTAATGTTGTTTTGGTAAATTTAACCAAAAAAATGTCTTTTAAGCTATGAAAGGAATGTTTTTGGTGTTTTTTTAAAATTAAAATTTAAAAAAAAATCACCAAAATTGGATAAAAATTGAGGTATGTAACATATTTTGAAGCTAAGGAAATATGAACTACTTATCTCTTTGTAACCTGCTAGTTTTGTTTACATTTTCATTGTATTCCTCATTCTCATTAATGCATAGTCATTACTTTTTTTTTAATATTTTGACTAACGAGACAGCAGAGCATGAACCCGAATGGTTCTAAAAATTTAGCGGCATTCTAGCACAAAAAATTATTTTTAAAAACTGATATTGATTCGTTCTTTAAGTTTTTCAATGATTTAAAACATGTGTTCGAACCAACGAACATATTAACAGGCAGATATACTAACAGAATATACTTATATAATATATTAATTCAATATACTAATATAATATCCTAATACAATATACTAATATAATATACTAAGAAATAAATAAATTCATTTGAAAAAATTAAATTAAATTTTTCATTTAAGCATTGAAATAATTAAAATACATGTGTTCTTTAAATATTTTTTACCCTCAGATGTAACGAAAAAAATGTCAAAATGGCGCCAAGCAAAACGAAAAAATGTGAATTATGTTATTTCGTATGAAAAGTATGGCTGTAAAGTGAAATTGATGTTTTTGTTTAAAGTTATTGATAATTAGAAAAAAAATGTGTGATATATATTGTTTACACCCTGATAGCAAAAGGTAACGGTATGAAAAATTTCGATTACCTTTTTCCATGAAAATACATTTTCACTTTTAATTTAAATCTTATTCGAAGCATATATAAGAGAAATATTGTACAGAATTAAATAGTTTTTAGTTACGTAAAATACTTTATTCCATTGCTAAAAATTTTCCGCTTCTTTCAGGTTTTAAAGAAAAATTGAATTTTTTGTTTCTGAAACTAAATTACCAGAAGTATTAGATAGAATTGTTAAAGCTAAAGTAATAAGTATTTTCTTTTTAATTTTAAAAAATGGCTTTTTTTATATTTTTCAAAATGGAAGAAAAAAATATTTCTTTTGAAAACTCTGAAATATACATTAGGTAAGGAAAGTTAAGATTTAAAAATACTTTTCTGGCATGAAATTTTTTTATAGAATATCCATCTTAATTGTTATATCTGAAAGAATAATTCGATTGTTTTAAATGCTAAGTCTTCTTAAGATAAACTAACATTAACTGAAGTATTAAATACCAATGCTAAAATTAAAATTACATATTTTTTTTTATTTTAGTAAGTGGACTTATATTTTCCAAAAAAAAAAAAAATTCTGAAAATATATTTTCCCTTTTTTGAAACTTCCGTTTAAAATATACACAAAATCCTGTTTGAAATATACATAAGACATAAAAGGTTCCGTATTAAATATATTTTCCTGGTTTACAAAACTGCCTTCAATTAATAAATTTTCCACTTTCATTTTTCAATCTTAAAGAATAACTTGCCGAAATGATTCAACTACTACTGAATTATCAAATACACATGTTGAAGTTAAAATAATAATAATTTATTTATCTTTAACAAATGATCTTTCTTACACCTTTCATGAAGGACGAAAACAAATTTTCACTTTTTTTAAGAAACCCTGTTATGAACGAGAAAAAGGAAGTTCAAAATTAAAAAATCTTTTTCTTCCATGAAAATTTTTCTTCCATTTATAAAATGTTCATCTTAAATTTTAGAAAATACAAAGAATAACTTGAATTTTTTCAAATGCTATTTTTTCTTAAAATAATCTAATATGAACCGCAGTCTCAAATACAAAAAATTAAATAAAATAGTAATTTTTGTATATTTTTAACATTTTGATTTTCATATACCTCCTTATTTACTTTACAAAAATACTTTTGGCCGAAGTCAACAATTCCGAAACTAGATCACATTTCTGCTTTCAAAAATAAATCGGTTTCACTTTTAAGAAAGTAAATAAAAGAATGAATAAAATCATTTTTCTCTACGAAATGGGAGTATCACAACAATTGTATGAAATGTCTCTTTCAATATATTTTTGAGAAAGCGAAATTCATCGCTTTATAGAAGTCAAGTTGTTCGTTCGTTCGTTCTTTTTTAAACTTTTAAGACTTGTTGTCAGTGTCAAGTTGGTCCCTGGCTTCCCCAACTTCTACATGATTGATGAGAGAACCGCTTAAATCGAGTTCTCTCTTAGCTATGAAGTGGAGAATTTCCGATAACTTGCTTCGAAAATACCACTTTGTACCAAAATTTGCTTGTTTCAGAAAAGTTAATAGTGGTAATTAAGTGTCAGGTCTATTAAGATGCTACGAAAGAAGGAAAACTCGTGTTTAAACTTAAAATGTGTTTGCAATAGGGGAGATGTTTTATTATGAGAAATTTTTTCATGAGGACGATGAACCTGTTTTTCTTAGGTAAAACTGATTTTTTTAACAATATATATATTTTTTCCAAAACACTTGTTGTTTTAAGAGTAAATACGGACTATTTATTATTTTTTATTACTTATTTCAAAATGCATCAATGCTTAAAATGTGATATTCGTTTTTAATAATCATTAATGTCGTTATCTATCGTTATTTAATCCATTATAACCAAAATTAGTTATAGTTCGAGTGTGCAACTGAAAAGTTAGTCTTCTTATTATTTTATTTTGTTCTTTGTACCTACGTTACCGTAAAAAGATGAAATATGTTTTTACGTGTAAGTATTAGTAAAAATGCAAAATGTTCATATTTAGTTTTGAATAATTCTTAACTAAGACACTAATTATATTTTTTAATTTTGGCCACACACTTAACATTTCAGTTAGAACCTTTCCTTAATATAGAACCATAAGTAATATAATTGCACATACATGTTAAAGAACGAATCAACAAATAGGAAATCCATGAAGAAACTAACACAAAATTAAAGAATAAATGAAATTATGACTCAGCGAATTAATTAAACAATGAAACAGCAAATCAGCGAGTTAATCATTCAATGAAACAATTGAATAAGTATATCTTCAAAACAGTAAACCTGCGAATCAGTGATTATTAGATCTGCTGATTCGCTTATTCATTAATTCATAATTTTATTGATTAATTGAATAGCAGATTCAACAATTTATTGAATCACTGACTCATTGTTTCAATGATTCACCGTTTTATTCATTTATAGATTCATTTACTTTTTAATTAATTCATTCTTTGATTCACTCACTCTCTGATGCACTCATTCATTGATTCACTTAATTATGGGTTCGATATTTAATTTTTTCTTTGATATATTTCCCCAATTTTTAATCCCATATTTTTCAATTTGCTGATTAATTGATTCACTAATTAACATTAATTAATTAATTTATTAATTCATTTATTTAATCATTGATCGATTAACTTCCGCATTTAGAACTTTAATGATTCATTTACTCAATCATTGCTCTGCAGATTCATTCATTCATTAATACTCTGATTCATCAATGTATTATTTCACTGATCAATTGATTCGCTAATTAATTCATCATATCATAGATTAATTACTCGATTCACTGATTATGGAAGATAGTAGAGCCTTCATTTATACTAATAATTACATATAAAATAGCTTTCCCCAAAGGGAAAAATGTTGAAGTCTTATAATGATTCTTATAAGCGGTAGACCAAGA